TGCTATGTGTTCATGGATAATAATATTTTGGATACAATAAAACGTCTTTAAAATAATTTAGTGTTAACAAGACATTTTGAGTAGAAAGTAAACAGGAGAATTAATATTTCCGTCTTTGCCGCAAAAGATATTTCTGTTTATTTCTCTTCTTGGTTATTACATCAAATCCCCGTTTTCTTCATTATTTTCTTGAAGAACTTAATTAAAATTGACGTTGTAATAAAATGCTTGCTGCCACTGGGTTTCCTAAGCCAACAATTTTCTTACGTTTCCCCTTCACCAATTTGTCCCTGTGTTTGTAGACGTAATCTTTTGCATTCGGTAGGTTGTTGACGACACAAATCGACATCCCGAATCTATAAACATTACTTTCTGTCGCCTGGTACCTGCAATTTGAGATATCAAAAGTGAAAACAAACCCTTTTTCATCATCCATCAGTATTTTCTACACTCAAGACAATTTTTATCACATTTCGCGGACACAGTTACAGAAATTATGTAGCTCTACATGAGACGAGGTAACTCATGAAGAAATGAGTCTTCTGCCATAAATAATTTACTTAATAAAAGTTTAACAGGAATTTAAATTGAATGTCAGTGACATTATTTAAAAAAATTAACCATTTCCTTTTCTTTTCAGCTTCTAAACTGAAATGTGTTGACGTAAGAAAGTCCATTCCTGATGGGCTGGCTCTCTCTTTGGGTAGAATGGAAAACTGCTTGAAACTGAAGGCACAGGCTTCCATCGAAATGTCTTAGCTTGTATTTTGTGTCCAGACAACCTTAACAAATATTCCCCCAATGGGACTTCAGTGCACGATTTACACGTGATCTTTCTTTTACTCATATACACAAAGAACACCGGCCAACATGCTATTATAACATAATATATTTTACTAAATCGAAATGGAGGGAGAGGTTATGAATATTTTAAAATGTTGTTAAATGAATTATGTTCTGCGTCAGCTGTGTTTGCTATACTTCATTAAGCCATTACCCCCGGTCAGAATAACACTTCAATCAAATATTCTTTGGAGAGAGACGCGTGTTTTGTTTGAGAATTGCGGCCATAATAATATTTCCCCCTTTTAGCAATTTGTTTTCAAAATTTAGTTTATTTTTGTCTGTCCTGCCAACAATAGTTCTAGAGAGGTTCTGTTGAAAATAAACCCAAAACAAATGAATTTCTGTGAGATTTCTGGCTCTTGCAAAGACAAGTGTGAAGAAAACTGTCTTCTGGGATGTTTGTGGGGCTGCTTACTGACTCCATCATCAGATGGCACAAGATTACATTGGTAAACGTGCGAAGAGACAGCCATTTACAAACAAACTTCCATCCAAAGAAGGGAATGTGAGACGGATAGGCGTCATTAGATGTGAAACCAGTCTAACATTTTGGTGAAAGCCAATGATTATAGCGAATATGATGCGCTGAACGCCAGAAACGTCCTGCCCAAGAGAGTACCCCTGATCAAAGAAACTTACCCTAAGAGCCCTTATTAATGCAGTTACAGTTGACGTCTGATTAGCATTACCTAGTCATTTGCTCTCTGCTTTAACGATTCAACTTGACCGCAACATTGCCCTGCCTGCTTTCATTCAACCCCCTCCTCTCATCCATTTTTCGCGTTCTGTATTCAATGCTCTGAGTAAGCGATAAGAACCTTTTAAATGTCGGACAGTTTCCACGACACTACATCGTGCAGCACCCGCAAGATCGCGGTCATGTTGACCGGAAATATTTCACATCCTAGTGCTTTTAGAAAGTAACAGTTTGTGATTATACAGTTCTGAACAAACAAACCAAGAAACAAACCATGTATTTTCCTCTTCATTGTAAATTTTGATACCGTCAAAATAATCACAAATGACAATAAGCTTGTCGATCACTTCTGCTTTTAAGCATGTTGAATGGTAGTTGATGTGAGGGATCTCGGTCCACGTGTCTTCTGCAGGGTCATACTTTTCGGTTATGAGCTTGTTGTATGTACTATTGTCTCCTCCTGCACACACATTCCGTAATATGTCACATTATATACAAAAAGATCTGCCAAACGAAACTTACTCTAACCCCATTCAGCGAGCCCATCTTGATATTTATTACTCTGTCACCTGACCACGAAATGTTTGGCCTTTATGGAGCCTTAAGATTTATTACCTTATTCACAAAAGTCGGTAGTTGAACCCTTCCCACATACTGTAGTTCCTCAAATACGTTTTAATATTATCCTTCCTTTTACGCCTATGTTACACAAGTGGTATCTTACCTTCAAGATTACACAATTAGAACGTTCTAGATGTATGTATTTCTCATAACTTCAATGCTTCACACTCCGTCCTTCATACACAACGGACTTGACGCTCTTAAAATTTGCAATTAATTAAACGTAAGGAATGGATGATATACAGAAAAGAAAATTCATTCCCTTTTCCAGTGTTAGTATTAGTACCAGGAACAAAGTTAAGGATCAAATAGCTGCAATATTATTTTCGTACTAGTAGCTTGCTTAGTGAACAAGGGAATCTATGAAGCATTTACTTTAATGCTGGAGTTTATTTACGGTACAGTAGAAACAGAATTGTTCTAAACTACAGCGTCCCAAAATTCGCACAAACAAAAGCTTAATGTCACGTCTGATTTACATATTAGATCGTAATTAATATTAAGGTTGTAATTACGCAGCTGAAACTTATGATTTAAGCGCCCTGAACCCTGATGTAAACACAACGTAACCAGTCTCACTACATTCGTAGGCACTCTGTGTAGAGAGACGCCATTAATTTTCCCAGTAGGAACAGGAAAATGCACCTGACGTCTGTTTACTGCTTCATGCAACTGCGTACGAAATTGGAGTTCAACAATTACAATAAGCTGCACTGAAATGGGGCATGCGTTAGTTGAGATCCCACAAGAGATTATTAGTTAGTTTTCTTTGTTGATAATGTATTCGAAAACACGAATCGTGGTTAAGAAAATACTGACAACCTTACAGTACTGTTCATAAAGTCTGAAGCTCTCAAAGAAAACTAGGAAAACATTGCACTATAGGAAGTTCTTTAAGAAGGTTGGAGGAACATCACTCAGGATATCCAGAATTCTTACCTAGGACGTACAGACTGCCGTGGAAGGCGACACAACAATGATTTCGACGTCCACAAAGCATTGGTGCAACGAACGTCCATCGGTTGGTGACTGGGTCATACACCTCCACCGTCATCAAATAATTGTCATATTTATCATATCCACCAGCGACATATATTTTGTCTGTAAAAACAAATTACATGTGTGACACAAACTGTATACAGGTTTGACGTAGGCAGAGGCATTACACTGCTCCACGCAGAGCACAAACATGGGAAAATCTGTACTTAAATTTGTAAATCTATTAATGATATTGTATTTAATGTCCCCCTTCGTGTCATAGCAACTGTACGGACACGGCTATCTCTATTCATTTGTTTCTTTCTTTTCAACTTTATGCATTTAAATGAATTTAGACAATTAGCGTGAGAAAGGAAACTAGATTAATGGATGAAAACAAACAGATACAATTTGATATAAACAGTATAAAGTGTTTAAAATATTGCATAATGGAAATGATTGTACAACATATCTTCTGTAAAACGAATTGTGTTAAATTCGATACCAGAGATGTACGGTACAAGCTGCCAAGAGGTGCTCTAAATTTTTAACACAATTTGCTATTTT